TATCTATCTATCTATCTATCTATCTATCTATCTATCTATCTATTCCCTCTGTATCTCTCTCTCATCTATCTAATGTCTTCTATATGCCTTCTAACTAATTTCCATCTGTCTGTCCATCCATCCATCCATCCATCCATCCATCCATCCATCCATCCGTCTATCTATCTATCTACCTTATCTCTATCAATTATCCTATTTATCATCCATCCATCCATCCATATCAATCTTTCTTTCTCTCTCTCTCTCTCTCTCTCTCTCCCTCCCTCCTCCCCTCCCTCCAAACTATGGCCCGCGGGCTGGATACGGCCCACTGAAACCATTAATCTGGCCCGCATAGGACCATGAAGCTGTCTCCGCCCACATTGCCCCCACCCACCTGCCCCACCCCTACCCTTCAGCCGAGCGCAGGACTTATCTTCACGAGTCCTGCGGGCTGCGACTGGAAGGTAAGGCCAACATTTTTGGCCTGCAGAATGCTACTGGAGGAGAGAGAGGCCAAAAATGTGTGCTGCTAAATTGGCCACGTCCACCTAATTACAGGACCACCTAGCCATGCCCCCACCAGGTGGTCTGCCTGCCCCAACAGTCTGAGGGACCGTGAATTGGCCCCCTGTTTAAAAAGTTTGAGGACCCCTGATTTAACCAGTGCAGCGGTTTGCCTCCAGAAGTTGTGAATGCTCCAACCCTGGAGGTTTTTAAAGAAGAGTTTGGACAACCATTGGTCTGAAATTGTATAGGGTTTCCTGCTTGATCAGAGGGTTGGGCTAGAAGACCTCCAAGGTCCCTTCCAACTCTGTTATTCTGAAATAAAAGTTCAGAGACAGACGATTTCAACTCCTCCCGAAATGTCGCTTCGCCTCCAAACCGCTGCATCATTTCTCTTGGGTTTTGTTTGTTTGTTTGTTTGCCCGTAGGCGCCTGCCTCAATTGTCATGGAAACACCGAAGGCACCTACTGTGAGAATTGCAAAGGGCAATTTTATCGCAACCGCTCCGAGCAACACGAGTGCGTCCGTTGTCCTTGCTCCACAGAGTTCTCCAGCGGCAGCTGCCAGATAAGTAAGGTGGTTTCCTTTAAAAGGTGGAAGAGCAGGGCGGGTTGAAGAGACCTCCTGTTTGAGTTGGCATCTGGGGAGAAGCTGTGGGAGCTGTGCGGGCCGTGACGGGCTTTAGGGCTGATCTAATTCGAGCTTATAGAAAGGAAGGAGTCCCACGGACTCTCTGACCAAGGAGAGATTCAACCTAGAAAGAAGGGGGAACTTTCTGACGGTGAGAACCATCAACCCATGGAGCAGAAATTACCTTCAGAAGTTGTGGGAGCTCCATCCTTGGAAGCTTTCAAGAAGAGACTGGACTACCATCTGTCAGAAATAGTGTAGGGTCTCCTTCTTGGGTGGAGGGGGTGGACTAGATGAACCACAAGGTCCCTTCCAACTCTGTTAAATCTGGTTGTTGTGGAGCCCAGGATGGAGAATTGGCAGGTATAAGTCTTGTAGACAAGTGATTGTGGACAGAATAGTCAGTAGTCTTCAACAACACAGCAATAAGCCCTGGTGTTGGGCTTGCTGGATCTTCATCTCCCTCTGCTGGTCACTTCCTCTGGTTGCATTGACCGATCGGGTGGTTCACCCTTGATGGAGAAACATCTCCCTCTTCTGGCTGGCCAGCTCAGCTATGTGAGAACGATCACCCACAACCGAGTTGCTTGAAACCCAGCAGGATCACCAGAGTTTCTGTCCAGAGATCTTCTTAGGATCCATTATCTTCTCAGTTATCTCATCAAGTTCATGTACAGATGTGGTCTCAAAGCTTTTGGTTGATTCCTTCTTCTCTTTCTTCTGTTGTCCACCATTACTACCACCTTCTCCTCCTCCTCCTCCTCTTCCATTCTTCTTCCTTTTTTCTTCTCTTTCTTTCTTCCATTCTTCATCCTCCTTTCTTCCTCCTTTCTTCTTTTCCCCCTCCTCCTCCATTCTTTCTACTTTCTTCTCCTTTTTTCCTCCATTCTTACTTCTCCTCCTTTCTTCCTCCTCCTTTCCTCCTCCATTCTTCCTTCTTTTTTTCTTCCATTCCTCCTCCTTGCTCCATTCTTCCTTTTTTCCTCCATTCCTCCTGCTCCTCTGGCTCCTTTATTTCTTCTTCCCTCCTTCATTCTTCATTCTTTTTTCCTCCATTCCTTCTCCTCCTCTTCCATTCCTCCTTCTTTTTTGCCTTTCTTCTTCCATTTCTCCTCCCCCCGCTATTCTTCCTTCTTTTTTCCTCCATTCCTCCTCCTCCTTTCTTTCTTTTTCCATTCTTCCTTCTTCCATTCCTCCTCCTTCCTCCATTCTTCCTTTTTTCCTCCATTCCTCCTGATCCTCCTACTCCTTTCTTTCTTCTTCCATTCCTCCTTTCTTCTTCTTCCATTCTTCCTTCTTTTTTCCTCCATTCCTCTTCCTCCTTACTTTCTTCCTTCCATTCTTCATCCATTCCTCCACCTCTTCCTCCTCCTTACTTTCTTCCCTCCATTCCTCCTCCTCTTCCTCCTCCTCTTCCTCCTCCTCCTTACTTTCTTCTTCCATTCTTCCATTCCTCCTTCTCATTGCATCTTCACAACCATTAACACTCGAATGTACACATCCTGCTTGACTGACGGCTGGCAATGCGGAAAGCACCCCCGTAGCAAACAGGAGCTATTGAACTAACTAACATCCTTCTTACCCAATCAGAGCCTGGTCAGCAAACCGCAACCTGTGATGACTGCCGTCCTGGCTACACCGGCCCTCTCTGCAATGAATGTGACAAGGGCTACTACAGCTCGGACAGCATCTGCCTGAAATGCCAATGCAATGGAAACGTGGACCCAGCCCTTTCACCGGCAGTCTGCAAGGCGGATACGGGCGAGTGTATCGGTTGCCTCTACCACACAGCCGGGGTTCATTGCGAGAAGTGCCAAGAAGGCTACGCCAAACTTTTGGAAGGAGCAAACTGCACCAAGGAAGGTAAGAGTTTTCTCCCATTGGGTTTGCGCCTTCTAGCAGCGGGCGTAAATTATTACAAGTAGTAAATGAAAATTAAATAGTAATAGTAAATTAAAAGACGCTTGCTCCTGGGGAGGAAAGCTATGGCAAATCTAGACAGCAGAATAAAAAGTAGAAACATCACCCTGCCAACAAAAGTGTGTTTAGTTGAGGACTTGTTGTTGTTACTTGCGAAGTTGTGTCCGACCCATCACGAGCCCATGGACAATGTTCCTCCAGGCCTTCCTGTCCTCTACCATCCTCTGGAGTCCATTTAAGCTGGTTATGGTTTTCCCAGTTGCAATGGATGGCTGTGGAAGTTGGACCATAAGGAAGGCTGAGCGCCAAAGAATGGAGGCCTTTGGACTCTGGTGCTGGAGAAGACTCCTGGATAGATAGATATAGATATAGATATAGATATAGATATAGATATAGATATAGATATAGATATAGATATAGATATAGATATAGATATAGATAT